GACGCAGCTACCTGAGGGGTCTCAGTGGTCAGTGTGTACAGGCCCGACCCAGGCTGCCGAGTGAAAGTAGCCAGGTGACGACCCGTCTGAGCACACGTGCAGTGTGTCACACGCTCGTAAGCAGGGGTGAACTGGTGAACACCCGCATCCTGGAGCGCAAAACCCGCCACCAAGTTCGTAGAGAACGAGGGGAGGTAAAGACCCGACAGTGCGCCGGACGGGACAGCAGGACAAGGGAGGACAGTGGAGGAGGTTGCACGGACTGGACCCCCAGAGGGGTCTGCCAGGGAGACTGGAACCGGCCGACTGAGCGGCGTGAGGGTGGTGCTGTCACGAAAGAAGGAGCGAGAAGCACCAGAGTCAAGTGTGAAGGTGTACAAGGCCTCAGTAGGCGCAGTACCAGAGAGAGCAGACTCACCAGCACCTGGAGCGGCAGGCTCTATACATGGGTCAAGCGGTACGCACAGGTAACAGGCACGGTCAGCACTAGTAGGCAATGCATACATGGCAGTGAGAATAGCATCATACTCAAGAGCAAATATATCTACCCTCTGCCCAAGCAGCTCCACCCAGTCGGGGAGCTCAGCCTCGTCGCCAAACTCGGTACGCCAGGCGTCACTCAGACGGGCGAAGCAGCGGGACTGTGTGTGACCAAGTGTCCCGCAAGCCTGACCAGTCCGATCACCTGTGCGAATGACGTACGGGCAGCGAACGGTACTCAAAGACCCTCTACTCTGAGCGTACCACTCGTGAAGCTGCCGGGGCGTAAGTGTCTCGCGTGGACGCCGCTGCAGCTGCAGCTGGCCACTGCCAGACGCTCCCAACTGACCAGCTCCAAGGCGACAGCTACGACGGCTACCGCGACAACCCCAACTAGCGTACCACTCACTAAGCTGCTGGGGCGTGAGAGACTCGCGCGGACATCGCTGGAGCTGCATCTGGCCACCACCAGTAGCAGCAGTAGTAGTAGTAGCAGCAGTAGCAGCAGTAACAGCAGTAGCAGCAGTAGCAGCGCGGCCACCCCTACAACCCCAACTAGCGTACCACTCACTAAGTTGCTGGGGGGTGAGGGACTCACGCGGACGTCGCTGGAGCTCCATCTGGCCACCGCCAGTAGCAGCAGTAGCAGTAGTAGCAGCAGTAGCAGCAGTAACAGCAGTAGTAGTAGCAGCAGCGCGTGCAGGGCAGGCGCGGCAGGCAGGCAGGCCGGCAGGCAGGCAGGCAGGCAGGCAGGCAGGCAGGCAGATGGCGCGGCAGCGCGCAAACAAGGCAGGTGCTCACCAGTGGCGGGAAGAGCAGGCGCTCGCCGGGCGAGCAGGGCCGGCGCTCGGCGGGCGGCTGCACGGGGTCCAGGGGCGGCGTCGCGGGTCCAGGGGCGGCTGCACGGAGTCCAGGGGCGGCTGCACCAGGGGCGGCTGCTGCAGGGGCCAGGGGCGGCTGCTCTGGGTCCAGGGGCGGCTGCTCGAGGGTCCAGGGGCGGCTGCACCAGGGGCGGCTTCTCGGGGTCCAGGGGCGGCTGCTCCAGGGGCTGCTGCTGCAGGGGCCAGGGGCGGCTGCTATGGGTCCTGGGGCGGCGCTCGAGGGTCCAGGGGCGGCTGCTCTAGGGTCCAGGGGCGGCTGCTCTGGGTCCAGGGGCGGCTGCACGGAGTCCAGGGGCGGCTGCACCAGTGGCGGCTGCTTCAGGGGCCAGGGGCGGCTGCTCTGGATCCAGGGGCGGCTGCTCCAGAGGCGGCTGCACGGAGTCCAGGGGCGGCTGCACCAGGGGCGGCTGCTGCAGGGGCCAGGGGCGGCTGCTCTGGGTCCAGGGGCGGCTGCTCGAGGGTCCAGGGGCGGCTGCACCAGGGGCGGCTGCTTCAGGGGCCAGGGGCGGCTGCTCGGGGTCCAGGGGCGGCTGCTCCAGGGGGGGCTGCTCTGGGTCCAGGGGCGGCGCTCGAGGGTCCAGGGGCGGCTGCTCTAGGGTCCAGGGGCGGCTGCTCTGGGTCCAGGGCCGCCTGCACAGAGTCCAGGGGCGGCTGCACCAGTGGCGGCTGCTTCAGGAGCCAGAGGGGCGGCTGCTCTGGGTCCAGGGCCGCCTGCACGGAGTCCAGGGGCGGCTGCACCAGTGGCGGCTGCTTCAGGAGCCAGAGGGGGGCTGCTCTGGGTCCAGGGGCGGCTGCTCCAGGGGCGGCTGCTTCAGGGGCCAGGGGCGGCTGCTCGGGGTCCAGGGGCGGCTGCTCCAGGGGCGGCTGCTGCAGTGGCCGTGGGCGGCAGCGGGCTGCGCGCGGCGACGGGCTGCGCGCGGCTGCGGGCTGCGCGTGGCGGCTGGCTGCGCGCGGCGACGGACTGCGCGCGGCGACGAGCTGCGCGCGGCTGCGGGCTGCGCGCGGCGACGAGCTGCGCGCGGCTGCAGGCTGCGCGTGGCGACAGGCTGCGCGCAGCGGCGGGCTGCGCGCGACAGCAGCGAGCGCGCGGGCGGCTAAGGCAGCGGGGCGCGCTAAAAAAAATATGCACGCGCGCGTGCAGCCAAGGCGCGCGCGGGCAGCAGGTAAGGCAGGCAGATAGGCACAGCTGTAGGTGAGGTAATTCAGTACCATGTTAGAGACTAAGGCATGAATGGTGTGATTAGGTCAAGAGTGGGGTACAAAACTAGAGTGTCGAGAATACTTCTGTACCCCCTAAGGCTAGCCCCAATATAGCCTAGATAGTTTTATGCATATGTTTTGACACGTTCTTCACTGCCGTCGCATCTGCCTCAGCCTTCCCGCCGTTTCTGGCACACGGCGGTGTTTCAACCCCAGCGTCTGCCGCCGCTCGGGCCAAGCCCTTGGCGCAGAAAGGGAAAACAGTCTGTAAGTGAAGTGCCCGCAGCGCTTGGTCTGTAAGTGTCTGCACCGCTCTTTTAAGACGTCTCAAAACTCAGGCCAAGCCCTTGGCGCAGAAAGGGAAAACAGTTAGTGTCCCGCCGTTCCCCACGCCTTCTTCAAGCCACGGCGGCGTTTCAACCACGGCGTTTGGCGCTCAAGCCGCCAAGCCCTTGGCGCAGAAAGGGAAAGCCGTCTGTAAGTGTCCGATTCTTGAGCTGCCTAAAGAATCTGCCGTTCAGCTTATGAGAACTCTCAAAGCCGCGCAGGCGGCTAACCCCTTGGCGCAGAAAGGGAAAACAGTATGTAAGTGACCGCAGCACTCTTGCCTCTTGTTCACTGCTAGTGCACCGGCGGTACTACCATATCTCCTACTGCTACCAGTACTACCAGCAGCAGAAGGTAGCGAGCGCACCGAGTTGCACCGAGCTGCACCGAGTCGCACCGAGTTGCACCGAGCTGCACCGAGCTGCACTGAGTTGCACGGAGTTGCACGGAGTTGTGGCCACCTCCTCCTCTGAAGCTTAGCAGATGGTTTCATGACTAATTATCTGATCCTGTGTCGCATCTGATGCGTTTGCTTATGTGTTGCATCTTATCCTGTGTTGCATTTGTTTTCCACATATCACCGTACCATCCGAGTGTCCTGTAAAAGTGTCAGCTAGTAGGATTCGTGCGGCTCTGTCATTACTGGATCCTCCAGAGCACCTCATGCGGTGATGCTATTTTTCAATACCTTCTCAACTGCTCTTGTCCTTTCGCGTCCTTTCCTTTCCCTTGCGCCCCTATTCCTGCCAATCCCGTTGCCAGGGAAGTACGTTACAAAACTGCGTCCCACTACACTCAATGGGAAGGTGGTTGGCGACAAAGGCGCATCGGGAAAATCTGTCACAAAGATAGTGAAGTGCGTCCCTGTTTGATTTTCATCTGCTTGTGCTATTGTTCCCTGATTAAATTGAGCCCCGATTTTCTTGCAACTAGAAACAGGTACTCAGCAACAGCATACTACTCTGAGTCGACTCATAAGTCATTTCTGTCCGTGCCTTGCCTTGCTTGCATTGCATTGCAGGTACTCGAAGACAGCTTACTATTCCATCAATTCTGTCTCCGTCTTTAACATCAAATCAGGAGGAAAGGCACCGACCGCAGGCAGCGGATCGTCCTGCTCCGGAGATTCCTTTGCCTTGCCGATAACGTGGACCAACATCACAAGCAAATCGGGCCGCCGCAACCGCAAGCGCTACAGTTTTGTGTACAAATCGAAATCCAGACCCGGGTCTCTGGCTGAGCTGCGGACGGCGGCTGAACGTGGATTCGCAATGTTTGGCTATTACGTGAGGATTGCACATGAGAATAATGCTAATGCACTCTGCGGGATGGCTAAGAAAGTGAAGGGCTGATACCAGTGGGCTGGCTTTCCTCCCCCTCCCCCTTTCCCCCCCCTCGTCTCCCTCTCACACCCTTCCTTTTCTTTTGTATCTTTGGGCTGGCTCTTTAGAGACTGGGTACAAGTGCTTATGGTGGATAGGACATGTATCAGGCTTCAGATTGCAGGCCTTTCATGCTGATTTCCCTGATACGTACACATGCTTTTTTTGCACAAGTCTCCTTTCAGCAACCGGTGCACTGGTGAATCATGGTTGAGACCAGTACCCCACAGGATTGCAGAGTTTCTTCCATTACCATACAGGATACGCAACCAGAGCATATTGCTGGTGCCAGCATAAATGTACGTAGGTTGATATGTGTGAGAGACAATATGGTACTCCGCAGCATTTCTGCACAGGTTGAAGTGCCACTGCCACACTCAGTGAAGGAAGGAGGTGCCAACCATACCACTACTTGAGGAAAGCTTGCCCACAGGAAATTGACTAGCGGAGGTGCGACATTCTGCCTATTGACCTCCTGGGCAAAGGATTCCCAGCCATTCCCAGCAAAGGAAAGCTCCATCAGAGGAAGGCTTATCTATCTACTGCTCGTTTAAGCTGAGGAGGGAGAGAGGGCGGGCTTGTTTGTCCGCGCCTGCAGCAGGAGCGCCCTCTCCACCCCCTCGAGCACCTCAGTCACTCCCAGCAGGGGAGGCTCTATCAGGGGAAGGCGATATCTAAGCGGAGAAGGGTGAGAGGGCGGGTTTGATCACTTCCAGCAGGGGAGGCTCTATCAGGGGAAGGCGGTATCTAAGCTGAGAAGGGAGAGAGGGCGGGCTTGTTTGTCTGCGCCTGCAGCAGGAGCGCCTTCTCCACCCCCTCGAGCACCTCTATCACTTCCATGAAGGACGGGCGCGCCATGGGGTCTGCCGCCCAGCAGCGAGATATCAAACTGGAAGTGATATGGACAGGGGGAAAGCAGGAGAGAGGGAGAGAGAGGGGGAGAGAGGGAGAGGGGGTGATATGGAAGGGGGGGAGACAGGAGAGAGGGAGTGAAACCAGAGAGGGAGAGAGGGGGAAGGAGGCGGGGCAGGGATGTGGGAAAGCAGGAGCGCCTGCTCTTCTCCACCCCCTCGGGCACTTGGATCAATCCCATGAAGGACGGGCGGGACATGGGGTCAGCCGTCTCGCCCAACAGCGAGATATCAGGCTGGTGAGGGAGAGACGGAGTGAGGGAGAGGGGGGGAGCGAGAGCGAGAGACGGAGTGAGGAAGAGACGGAGTGAGGGAGAGACGGAGTGAGGGAGAGACGGAGTGAGGGAGAGACGGAGTGAGGGAGAGACGGAGTGAGGGAGAGACGGAGTGAGGGAGAGACGGAGTGACAGTGGAGGGAGAAGGAAGCAGAGACGTGGGAACCCAGTAGCGATTTCTACAACTGTTGAAGGCCCAGAAACTGCCATAAACAATAAAGAGACGTTGTTTTAGAACATGATTTGAACAGCCCGAGACACGAACACTTAAAGCCTGAAACCCGAGACTCGACCCCTGCAATTATGGCTCCATTTGAGGCGCCTTAACAGTTTAACCCCAAAGAGCACAGCACCTGACACAGCACCTGACACAGCACCTGACATAGCACCTGACACAGCATGTGACATAGCACCTGAAAGAGTTGCTGACACAGCACCTGGCTAAGACCTCAGCACCTGACTAACCTCACATACATACTGACTCACTCTTTGACCTCCTCGGGGTACGCCTTGGACTTGAAGGGCGGCCTGATGCCCTCCATTGCCACCTTCCAGGCCACCCCCTCTGGCGTCATGGTCTTGGCAAAGGGCGGTAGACCCTCAAACATCTGAGAAAGGGGTGGAGGGAAGCAGAAGGCAAGGGGAGGACGAGGGAAGGATGCGATAGGAAAAGTCGCAGAGATGGGATGGGGAGGCAGCAGCAGGGAAGGGAAGGAGGGGACCACAACAAGCAACATCTCAGCCGTCCATCGCATCTCACCTGGCGAACGAATCTCAGCCGTCCATCACCTCTCATGTCGTAAAAGATAACGGAGGAGGAGTAGACGCCCACCGTGCGATCGTACGCCTGGTGCTTGAACACCTCTGCCAGACCCACGGAGCAGTTGCGATCCATCACAGCTGTCCATCTCACATTGCACTCCATCACAACCGTCCATGTCACCTGGCAGTCGATCGCAGCCGTCCATCGCCTCTCACCTCGTAGAAGATGACGGAGAAGGAGTAGACGTCCACAGTGCGGTCGTATGCCTGGTGCTTGAACACCTCTGGCGCCATGTAGCGGTCTGGGGGGAGCCAGACAAATGGAGCAGTGGTGGTGGTGGTGGAGAATGAGAAGAGAGTAGAGCATATGAGGAGCACTCAGTGCAGTCGTAGGCCTGGTGCTTGATCACCTCTGGCGCCATGTAGCGGTCTGAGGGGGAGGTGCAACAGAGCAGTGGTGGTGAGAAGAATGAGGAGGGAGAGAAGAGAGCATAAGAGGAGCACTTAGTGCAGTCGTAGGCCTGGTGCTTGAACACCTCTGGGGCCATGTAGCGGTCTGAGGGAGTGGAGAGAGGAGTGGTGGTGGAGTGGAGGTGAGAATGGTAAGAGAGGGAAGAGAGAAGAGCATAAGAGGAGTGCTCAGTGCGGTCGTAGGCCTGGTGCTTGAATACCTCTGGCGCCATGTAACGGTCTGAGGGAGATGGAAGGAGGTGGAGGGCAGTGGTGGGAGGTGGAGAGTGGTGGAGAGAGCAGTGAGTGACTATTACCACTATAAAAAAAACAAACTCCTTCGCTCTGCACTTCACCTTGACCAATTCTCTCACAACAGCTGCCTGTCTCCCAGTCATGTACATCTCGTGCAGCGCTATCACCTTCACCAGCTCAAACCAAGTGTTGAGACGTCCCATCCCATTACCCCCACCACACCCACTCACACCTTGCCCCCGTACCCACACCTGCCAGTCCCCCCAACAGGTCTACTCACAGCTGCCGGTCTCCCCAGTCATCTTGTACATCTCGTGCAGCGCATTCACCTTCACCAGCTTGCTCAAACCAAAGTCCGCCACCTTTAGGTGGTCTCCCTCGTCCCGAATCAGGTTCCTGACAGCACCAAGCAAGCAAGGAGAGCCAAGGCGGGGGGCAAGGGTGGTAGGGGGAGCAACAAAGGAACAAGGGACCAGCTCAAACTGAAATCCGCCAACTTTAGGTGGTCTCCCTCGTCCCGAATCAGGTTTCTGTTGAGTTGGCGTGAGGCAGAGAGGGGCACAGGCAGAAGGTGAGAGGGGGGAGAGTCGACGAGAGTAGAACCAAGCAGCTTGCTCAAACCGAAATCCGCCACCTTGAGGTGATTTTTTTCCCGAATTAGGTTTCTGGGGGCGTTGAGCAAGCAAGGATGACCAAGGACGGAGGAAGGAAAAGGAGTTAATCAGGCCGGAGCGGTTTGTCTTTTACAAGGCAAGGGAGAAACGTGTTTCGAGTCGACTCAAAACACGGCCGGAGTGGTTTGTCTTCTGCAAAGCAAGGGAGAAACGAACCATGAGCCGTTGTGAATGCCTCCCTGGCTTGTGAATGCCTCCCTGGCTTGTGAATGCCTCCCTGGCTTGTGAATGCCTCCCTGGCTTGTGAATGCCTCCCTGGCTTGTGAATCCCTCCCTGGCTTGTGAATGCCTCCCTGGCTTGTGAATGCCTCCCTGGCTTGTGAATGCCTCCCTGGCTTGTGAATGCCTCCCTGGCTTGTGAATGCCTCCCTGGCTTGTGAATGCCTCCCTGGCTTGTGAATGCCTCCCTGGCTTGTGAATGCCTCCCTGGCTTGTGAATGCCTCCCTGGCTTGTGAATGCCTCCCTGGCTTGTGAATGCCTCCCTGGCTTGTGAATGCCTCCCTGGCTTGTGAATGCCTCCCTGGCTTGTGAATGCCTCCCTGGCTTGTGAATGCCTCCCTGGCTTGTGAATGCCTCCCTGGCTTGTGAATGCCTCCCTGGCTTGTGAATGCCTCCCTGGCTTGTGAATGCCTCCCTGGCTTGTGAATGCCTCCCTGGCTTGTGAATGCCTCCCTGGCTTGTGAATGCCTCCCTGGCTTGTGAATGCCTCCCTGGCTTGTGAATGCCTCCCTGGCTTGTGAATGCCTCCCTGGCTTGTGAATGCCTCCCTGGCTTGTGAATGCCTCCCTGGCTTGTGAATGCCTCCCTGGCTTGTGAATGCCTCCCTGGCTTGTGAATGCCTCCCTGGCTTGTGAATGCCTCCCTGGCTTGTGAATGCCTCCCTGGCTTGTGAATGCCTCCCTGGCTTGTGAATGCCTCCCTGGCTTGTGAATGCCTCCCTGGCTTGTGAATGCCTCCCTGGCTTGTGAATGCCTCCCTGGCTTGTGAATGCCTCCCTGGCTTGTGAATGCCTCCCTGGCTTGTGAATGCCTCCCTGGCTTGTGAATGCCTCCCTGGCTTGTGAATGCCTCCCTGGCTTGGTTCAAGCTGGAGAAGCAAGTAAAGATTGTTTGGCCTGAGTAGCGTTGGTTTTGAGGTCGAGAGAGCAACTAGCAGGGACAAATCGTAGCTTGGTTTGAGGTCGAAGCAGCTTATATCGGGAAAATACACACCTCGGTTTGAGATCTCTGTGAATGATGGACTCGGGCTTGTGGTTGTGCAGGTAGTTCATTCCCCTGATGGATGAGTTGGGGTAATGAAGGGGAGAGAGGGACGGAAGGAGAGGAGAGAACATGAACAGGAGGGGAGTTCATTTTGTGGAAAGAGGGTGACGCGCATTCAAGCTTGTGGTTGTGGATGCATTGTGGTTAACCAGCCAAAAAATCTCGCCTAATTATTTTTTGTGAATCTCGCCTAAAAAATATCATTCTGATAGGTGCCTTGTGAATGAACCGTACCAGCCAACCAGCGCTATTCTCGCTTCAGAAGCCTGCCTAATCCCCTCACTTCAAGTGCCACTCCCACCACCTCACTCACCTGGCAATGTCCAGCCCGTGTCCCACCGCTATTCTGGGGAACCTAGAGCAAACTCCGAGAGTCAACCAGGAGGACTCACGTGTGTCAATACCAACCCAACCCTTCACGTGGCAGTCCCTATCGCTGTCTCACCTGGCGATGTCCAGCCCGTATCCCGCCGGCGCCACTATTCTGGGCGGGCGACAGGGCACATCACATCATACTCGCCCCCCCCATCAGCCCCTCAACAATCACCCCCTCCCTCACCTGGCCATGTCCAGCCCGTGTCCCACCGCTATTCTGGGCGGGCGTTAGGGCGCACCCTAATCCGGCCCGTCAGTGGCCCCTCAGCAATCAACCCCTCTCACCTCACCTGCCGATCCCAACCCCCTCACCTAGCGATGTCCAGCCCGTACCCGACTGCTATTCTGGGCGGCAGGGCGCCCTTCACTAGCCCCTCAACAGCCAACCCCTCCCTCATCTCACCTGCCGATTCCAATCTCCTTGCCTCGCAACCCCAACCCCCTCACCTAGCGATGTCCAGCCCGTACCCCACCGCTATTCTGGGCGACAGGGCGCCCTTGGCCTTGAGCACGTCGTGTAGATCGCCCTGTGTGCGGGGTGGGGAGGATGGAAGGGGTTTTGGGGAGAGGGGGGGGGAGAGGGGGAAGGGGGTGTGGGATTGATGAGAGAGTGTAAAGGAGGGGCTGAGCAGAGCAGGGCGCCCTTGGCCTTGAGCACGTCGTGTAGGTCGCCCTGTGGGTGGGGAAGGGGGCCCCAGGCAGGGGTGAGCGGGTGGGTGGAGAGAGTGGTGAATGGTGAATGGTGAGTGGTGAATGGTGAATGGTGAGTGGTGAGTGGTGAATGGTGAATGGTACTCAGTGACGAGGCACAGGGGCGGGCGGCGGGTGGGTGACGCACCCCAGAAACCGCACTATGTTGGGACGCCGTAGCTTGGAGAGGCGCACACAGCATTGCATTCACCCATCTCGCATATTGCACGGCGCATCATACATGCTGCATCTCGCATGATGCTGCATTCGCATCAGTGCAGCGAGACTCACCCCAGGGAGGTACTCGGTGACAAGGCACAGGGGGGGGCGGCGGGTGACACACCCCAGAAACTGCACTGTTAAGCAGCCTACAGCATGCATGCATCCCCCATCCAGCACACTGCAGCGAGACTCACCCCAGGCAGGTACTCGGGGACAAGGCACAGGGGCGGGCGGCGGGTGACGCATCCCAGGAACTGCACAATGTTGGGGTGGCGCAGCTTGGGCAGTAGAAACATTTCGTCCCGGAACTCTTTTCTGCCCATCATCAGGAAAAGTTGAAAGAAAGAAAGAAAGAAAGAAAAAAAAAAAACGAGAGAAAGGAAAACGACCAAACAGTTGGCCACTTTCTATTGTACGGGTAATGTGAATGACAATAACACAAGATAACACCAGGAGATACGCATCGCACAAGAAAATAGCCCGTCTGATGTGAAAGCGGACAACAAAGAGCTAAATATGTGTATATTAAAATCCATACTTTTATTACTCCCCAAAAATGAACCTCACGTGATTTGCACGTCATCTGATAGGCCTGGCAGGATTGTCTTAGCTGCCACGGGGGTGCCTCTCCACATGACCCGCATGATCTCACCGAACGCACCCTGGGATGAAGGGATGGCGGGAACAAGGGAGCGAACGAGGAGCGAAAATGGGAGGGCGGGATGGAGGGAGGAGGGAGGGAGGGATGGGGGGAGGGAGTGGGAAATGGGGGGAGGAAGGAGAGGGCAGGGAGTTGCTTCGAACTGCTAAAATCCATATTGCACATAATTATTTCCCCTTCTAAGGGACTTTTGAGTCGACTCAAAAATCACATCGTTCCTTCGATCTGCTGAAGTCCAAATTGCACATAATTATTTCCCCTTTTAAGTGATTTTTTTTAGTCGACTCAAAAGTCACCTCGTTGCTTCGAACTGCTAAAGTCCATCTTGCACATAATTATTTCCCCTTCGCCCCATGGATGAACATCTCTCTACCACATCCTTGCTCCCACTCTCTCGTTCTCACACACACTCACTCACGCACACTCATTCACTCCCTCACTCACACCCACCTTGCCGATAAGTTTTGACTTGCTGAAGTCCAGCTCGGATGGATCTATCTCCCAGTCGTCCGCTTCTGCCCCCTGTGGTGGTGATGGGGGTGGAGTGAGGTGGGGTGTGGTTTGGTATGGTTTGGTACGGTTTGGTGTGATTAGGCGAGATGTGGTGATGGGTGTGATTTGATTTCATGATCTCCGGAAACTGCATTTCCTTCCCTTCCCTTATCAATGCAATGCATCTCTCATCTCCCGTCAGCACACACACACTCATCACATGCACTCCGTCCCACCAATCCTCGCCACTCCGAACCATTCCTTTCCACTCTCCACCACTCTTCATCACTCCCCACCACTCCTCACCACTCACCCCCTCAATGCCGCCATGCTTCAAGAGCACTTGAATAATCTCTGGAAACTGCCCCTTCTTCCCCTCCCGCATGGCCTTGCGCGCGTCTGTCAGTGGCTGTGCAGGGGGAGGGTGGGGGGAAGAAGGGGGGGTGTGGGGGAAGGGTGAGGGGGGGGGGGGGGGGGGGGGGGGGGTGGGGGGGGAGAGGGGAATTCGGAGAAGGGGGATGTATGGGCAGGGGCGCAAGGGGGAAGCGATAGCATGGACTTCTTTAGTCAATTTTTGAGACGTCGATTCAGAAAGTCAATCAGAACATACTACCCGCCCCTGGCCCCTCCTCCTCCTCCCCCCACCTCCCTCTGTTCCATCCCCCTACAGCCATTAATACGGACCGTGTGTCCCCATCTGTCGCGCGGGTTGACTCTCGCGCCGCGCGCCAGCAGCAGTTTAAGCACGCCCAGGTGGCCCTCGCACGCCGCGAGGTGTATCGCGGACCGCCCGTCGTAATCCGCGCTATTGACATCCGCGCCTTCGTCTAAGAGCCTCGTTAACTCGTCCACGTCGCCTTGGCTCGCGACGAAAATCATGTTCGTCATTCGCGAAAGCTGGTCCTGCCACTTGCTCTGCGACGACGACCCCTGCGAATGCGACGAACCATGCGACCCGTGTGATCCGTCACGCGCGCTTCCCCCTCCGCCATCGCCGCCGCCTCCGCCGCCGCCGGCCCCGCTGTGGCTGGGGCCAGCAGCAGAGCTGCCGTTTACTACGGCGGGAGACCCGCGCGCGCCTGATCCCGCGGCTGCTGCTGCGGGAGCTCCCGCGGACCCTTTGCCAACTCCCTTTCCCGACCCCATGGGTGCAGCTTTCGCTGCTGATACTAGTCCGCCTACGCTTCCCCGCTTGCGCGAACTGTATCACCGCTGCTACAGCCGCTGCTACAGCCGCTGCTACAACCACTGCTACAGCCGTTGCTGTAGGCAAGCTTGCGTTGAGATGCCACGTGACGGCTGCGGGCAACACACCGACACTGCTCTTCCCCGCGCCTACTATCCTCGCGACATTTCTATCGCGTCTTTCGCAACCCGTCGCATGGCGACGATCATTCGGTTCGCTGCTGCGCGACAGCCAAACTGTGCGGGAGAAAGAACGAGAGCTCGGCTTACTTCCTTCACGCCAAGTCTGAGAAGCCTTGCACTGCTTTGACGCGATGTCGTCTCGCTCAAGTCAAAGAACAACCCGTGCTAAGATATCGCCAGGCGGTGCGGAAAGACGAGCGGGAAAAGCGGAAAACATGAAGGTGGAGTAAAACCGCACGCCTGTAAGAACCTTAGCGCAATGCAGTGGGCGGGAAGTAATCCTAGTAGTGTATGGTCCTGTTGGAGTGATTCGCGATTTGCATTAGCGGGAGCTTATTGACGACTTGGCAGTGACGGCTACGATCTGTGCACACTTGGCATGTCAACACGAGGGAACTAATTGACGATGCGGCTCGTGTGGAGGAAAACCTACTATGTCAGTCTAAATACCCGCGAAGCGGTCTAGTACTTGGCGGGTAGTGCGTAGAATGGAAGAGTACGTGTTCGCGACTGTGCTACCCACGTGAACACAGACTCATTCCACATAAATAAGTGTGCGAGGAGGGAGGGGAGGTGTGCGTGTGAGGCGGTGTTGGGTAAGAAAAGGTGACAAGTGGGAAGTTGAGAAAACGCGGGAAGAGAAATGTAGGAGGTCCAGCGGCAAGGTTGGCGGGAAAAACTACACTGCAGCGCCAAGCTCGAGGGGAGTGTTTTGTTCTCATCTCGTCTCACGTTGGTCTGGTGATCGTCCAGTGCGTTTTAGTAAGAGTTTTCACGGTTAACAGCGTTTCTGACCCAAACTAGGAGCAATTTCAAGGCGTTCTGCTGCACCGCAATTGATTCGCTCCCCAATTGCTCCCATGGGCCACGGGACTGCCGAGCTAGCAAACATGTGGGTCAAATTCCCGTGAAAAGGGCACCCCGCCCGTCCCCAAGCCAGATCAGCACAACGTGACCCACGTGGGGACCTTGCGTCTGCTATATAGTTGGCTTCAATTACGTAAACGTCCTTAACTACACTCCTATTGGAATTTCGAACTACAGTAATTCCATATCCAATTCATAATCCAACGGTAACTTTCCAGCTCCACCACCTGCTTCACCAATACTTGAAACAGCAGGATTGTCTCGCTGCTGGCCCCTGTCATTCCGTGTAGGGCAGGCTTCTAAGTACACCGAAAGTTGACGCATCGGACGATTTCCTCAGGCGTCAGCGCCACTTTATTAGGGTCGTGTGGGTACCCTTTTCTTGCGAGCGAAACAGTTGGCCACATTAGCGGTTACTTAGTACATTGTTTGTTTAGTCCGGTTAGTTATTATCTTATTGAGAATTGTCCTGGCTCGACCTGCTTCCGCCACTCCTTCCAGTTTTTTTACGTATTCAGCGTTAGATTGGTCAGCCATTTCAACGTGTTTTCGCCACAAATCCACGTGGCAGTGACTCAGCCATTCATGGATACGCCGGCATCTGAGCCTGCTCTAGCGTCAGATTCTTCCACGTCAGCAGAGGACGTGGAGGAGGTTGAGATTGAGGTGGTCGACGAGCCGCGTCGCGCGGATTTTCAGGAGAAAGTGCGCCGATTGCGGCAGGTTTTGCGGGATCGCGGGATCCAGTCCGCGTTGATCTCGTCCGTTCCTAATTTCTTCTGGCTCACATCCGGCGGTCGAAATTACGTCAGTCTTTACACTCAGCAGGTAGGGTTTCGCACTAAGGCAATGCCAGACCAGAGGAAATCAATTCTGGTTAGTGGGTTCAAAATCTCATACTTCCCCGACTTTGAATTCGCGGTGTAACCTATATAGTTGTTGATGCTGACAGGGTGGTAACCAGTAACATTGTGAAAAAGGGCTATTTTGCAGTGATCATTCCATTCCACCCATTGCCCCTACAACCCCCACCCCCCAGGGAGTGGCGTCTATGTTCGTCGATGCCGACAGGGTGGTGCTGGTAACCAGTAATATTGAGGCAGAATGGATATCATGTGTTACTCTATCGTTCAATAAGATCGAGTTATCCTTTCCCCTCCTTTCCCCCCTTCCCTTCTTTCAATTCCTCGTTTCAGGGAGTGGCGTCTAGTTTGTGGACGCGGACAGGGTGGTGCTGGTAACCAGTAACATCAATGCATAATGCACTACGTATAACTTTATCATTAACCAGGAATGAATCATCCCCCCCCCCCCCCACTCTTCCGCCCCTTCTCCTCGTTTCAGGGAGTGGCGTCTATGTTTGTGGACGCGGACAGGGTGGTGCTGGTAACCAGTAACATCATTTCAGATTGCCAACTTGTGTAATGCTAACATCACCAGGAGCAATTTTATCCCTTCCGCCCCTTCTCCTCGTTTCAGGGAGTGGCGTCTATGTTTGTGGACGCGGACAGGGTGGTGCTGGTAACCAGTAACATTGAGGCGGAGCGAATCACAGCAGAGGAGCTCGCAGGGCTTGGCAGTATTCAGGTGTTCGCCAAGCCGTGGTTCTGGGACGACTCGGCGCACTTGAACAGGTAGGTGCTGGAAAGTTGTACAGTAGTTTCTGTACAGTAAACCTGACACAATAGGTTTGATACAGTATATTGTATTTGTCATATCCCCCCAACTGATCTATCCTTTCCCCCCCATTTCCTGATCTCCACTAACCTCCTTCCGGGCTCATGATAACTCTAGGTCGCTGATTCAAGCCGAGCCAGACACAGGGGACACGACTCATTCCCGCCCTCCTCCCATCTCCCTCATCCCCCCAATCCCCCTGAACCCCCCCACTCCTCCCACCTCACCCATCCCCCCATCCAGGCTCATGCCACTAGGTCGCGGGTTCAAGCCCGGCCAGACACAGGGGACACTACTTGTGTGTCCCATTTCTCATCTCCCCCATCCCCCATCCCCTTCAATTCCCTGTTCCCTCCATCGCTCTCATCCCCCATGTAGGCTCATGACTTTAGGTCGCGGATTCAAGCCCGAGCTGACACAGGGGACACGACCTGTTTCCCCTATCCTCTCATCTCCCCATCCTTTTCTTCCCACTGTTCCTCCAAATCCCTCCCTTCTCCCATCCAGGCTCATGACTCTAGGTCGCGGGTTCAAGCCCGAGCCAGACACAGGGGACATTCTCACCCCAATATTCGCCGAGCTAAGAGCCACTCTTACCCCCTTCGAAGTGGGTAAATACCGCGTTCTAGCCCGGCAGTGCGGGGAGCTTCTGGGGGAGGTAGCGTGGGGGTTGAGGAGGGGGATGACTGAGAAGGAGGTGGCAGGGGCTGTGGCGGGCGCGTGTTACTCGAGGGGAATTCACCCTATTTTATTGCTGGTGGGGGCGGATGAGAGGATGGATAAGTGGCGACATCCGCTGCCCACTTCTAATGTGGCCAAGGTGAGAAAGAGAGTGAGTGAGTGAGTGGGTGAGTGAGAGAGGGTGAGGAGTGAGGGAGCGAATGAGTGAGTGAGGGAGGAAGTAAGAGAAAGTGATCGAGTTGGGCTTGGTTAGCCAGCTAAGGTCAGAAACTTCACGATTGATGAAGTAGGGTTTCAACAGCCGCCTCCTCTTTTCTCTCCACGATTCTCCATTGTCGTAACCCACCCACCCACCCACCCACCCACCCGCCGCCAAACCCCTCCGAACCCCTCCCATCCCCCTAACCATTCCCCCCCTACTTTCTACCTTCTTCCTCCCCCCTCCCCCCTTCAATCTCCTGCATCACTCGTGCATTCTTATACTGCGCTATGCTAATTCCCCCTTATACTGCGCTATGCTTGTTGTCGTGGCTTCAACGCCTTTCTCGTCCTGTCTTTTACGTGTTAAACATAATTGCCTCAAACGGTCCTCCCTGTCACCCCTCTTCCTGTTTCTCTCTCACCACCTGATGCACAAACCCCTCACTTCAGTCTCCATCTGTCCTTTTGTCTTTCCACTACCCTCCCCTTCCCCGCGCCCTTCCCTACCCGCCTCCTGCTCCCCTCCCCTCCCCCCTCACCCCCCCTGTTACAGTCACGCCTCGTCATTACCCTGTCCGGTCGTCGTCACGGGCTCATCGCCTCTCTCTCCCGAGTCATCCATTTCGGCCCGCTCCCCTTGGACTCGCCCCTTCGCTACAAGCACACCGCTGTGACTTACGTGGATAGCGTCGCCATCGCCAGCACGCGTGTCGGCGCCACGTCAGATGCAATCATGGCAAGAATCCAGCAGGCCTATGAGGAGCGAGGGTTTCGGGATGAGTGGTTGCATCACCACCAAGGGGGAGCGACGGGGTACAGGACTAGGGAGTGGAAAGCGGAACCGGGTGTACGGTATTATGTGGGCTCCCCACAAGCGTTTGCGTGGAATCCGTCTATAGCGGGTACAAGATCAGAGGATACGATCTTGGTGGGGGGCGGTGCGGGGGACGGTGGTGGAGTGGGGAATGGAGCAGGAGATGGGGGAGTGGATGGGGCATGTCCGGAAGTCTTGACGGCGACCCCTGATTGGCCGATGATTCGGCATGTCGTTGATGGAATTGAAATCATGCGACCAGATGTGTTGGAAATCATGGACTGATGGAGCTATCGGTATGCCTGTTTCAACCACTCAAGCACAGCGTTTCGAATGTTATTCTCCATAAGGAGGGGTGCATGGTCAGCGCCTTACAGACGGTTCCAATTACCTATGGATCATAAAGCCATGTCTCAGTAACAAAATGCACAATATATAACACAATCAAAACAAAGCTCACAAAACCTATGTACACCCTACACTCATATCACTCAGCAATTGATTGGCGGCTCTGTTTTCCTAACCGGAGCGCACGCACTTTTTGCTTCCCGAGCTTTACAAGCCAGACAGGAACCAGAGCAGCTGGCAGCCCAAAGGTCCCACCCAGTCATGCACTGTTGACCTCCGCCAGCGTTTTCAACAATTCTAGCTTCACAATTTAGTCTTCATGCCTGGCCTTGAGCATACGGAAGGCTGTGAGCTCGTCACGGATTTTAGCTGGAATGGGAGCCAGACCAAGAGGGGGAATGGGAAAGGGTGATGGGGTTTGTGATGGAGGGTCAGAAATGGCATGAAACTGGCATCGCTGCAGCAATTTTAGATGTGGGTAGCTTTCCATGAAGATAGTGATACAGATGGGAAAAAAAATCTGTTGGTAATCCCACCACTCTCATACCGTAGTTCCTCACGGTTCATGCCCATACCTGCATCACTGAACCGCTCCTCTTCGATGGCCTTCTGCATGTCTTGACGCAGTCTGAACTCCGCTGTAAGGTCTTGTAGCACCATGCTTGACGCATCAGGCCTGCAATCAGCAACAAATTATCACTTGCAAGACTCAGTTTGTGTACCGGTACCGCTTTCCACAAATACTATCAACGCATTTCAACACTTAGCCCTCAGCAGTTATGAAGGAGAGCAAAATGCCCAGGATGCTGCACAGCATAGTTCGTTCCGCTGCGCTTCCCGATGTTGCAGTTGCAACGTTCCATCCAACAACAGACTGACTCACATGTCCTCCTCGGTGGGCGCAAAGTTGCGCCGGCGAACTGTTCGGCCCGAACGGGGTGCTGGCTGAGGCGCGGTGCTGACGACTCTCACGCCATCCCCAACCGCCAGGGCTCTGTTCACCTGAACGGGCACCTGGAAATTGGAAAGGGGAACAACAACAAGCATGCAAAATATATCATGGAAGAGTGCCACGTCACACGAGCTCTGGGTGAACAACATAACGCAGAACGGCAATGCATCAAGGAAGGTACAGATATCACACTTTTGTGCCTATCGTTACAGGAAACGAAATGGCGTATCCTTGCTCTGATTGCCAGGTTGATCGCATCAGATGGCCTCAGGTCAAGGCTGAATACCGTTCCTCCACCTTCGCCCACCTGTCAGGTATGATCATCATTTGAAACACGCAGAACGAACAGGGGGACGCATCCGATGCAAGGAGCACTTTAAGTTGAACTCCCATCAAAGGGTGGCAGAGAGAAGGGCTATTTCAAAATGGGTACCTGGTGGTCAGGGAGATTTACCTTCTCGAGGTAAATTCGGGCGTAGTACGCCTCGCACACGCGGTGAGTGACGCTAATTGAGATCATCAGTGTCGAAAACCGAAACAGTGCGAACTGTGCTGTTGCTTGTTTGATTATTGTTCTTCGTGCTTCTTTAATTGGCCGATGTTGCAGTGATTGGACAATATCCGTATCCGTACCTTGTACCCCATCATGTCAATCATGTCCCTCATCACCAGGTACACCGTTGGCCGGGCCTGAACACATGATCGAAGAAAATCAACGTCAGAGAAGTCAAGTCAAGCGGCGGTTTGATTGCAAACGACGAATGTCTGTTGAAGGCGTGTGAGAGTCTTGAAGTACTCACAAGTGGGACATTACGAATGGCCTCTTGGGCCATCTGGCTCGGCAAGTCCACTGCAAAAGAAAGAACGAAAAAGGAAGTAGGAGCTGAGAAAGATAAACGACACAGGACAGAAACGAGAACAATCTGCCAACAGGGAATTGTATTGTATCTGAGCAGATAGTTAGCAAGAATTGTTATCTGAATTTTCAGAAAGCGGTGCCGATATTTACTTACAGACAATTATTGGAAGAAGAATGCCGCTTCCGTCCTCGAGCTTGAGGACAATGGCCGGCTGCGCCGTGTAATCAGGGAGCCTTGCGCCATCGGGGCTGGTGTGAGCGCATTTGAGAAGCGAGCCGTCGGACATCTTGACGACGAAACCATCTACGTTGCTTTTCACTTCATCTGCAAAAAAAAAAAAAAAAAAAAAAGGGCAAGAAAGCAGGCGATCCACCATAAAGCAATTGCACAAGCAAGGTCCAATTAGTAAGAATAATAGATGAAATCAGCGTGAAAGTCCAGCATAAACGTCACATTCAGAATCGAGCACCTTTTAAATAGATCAAAGGGTCAATGACATGTCAACCAATCATAGGGCATACTTGCTTCGACGACGGTGGCTAGGGCGTACTCCGTGTCATCCTCCTGAAACCCCTCGGACATTTTTGTTGGAGGTTGCGTGGGGCTAGGTTTTGCCCCCAACCACCGAACGGTGCTGCTTTTGCTTCTCACCTTCGAGTGAGCTGCAGGTTGGCGTGGGGCTGAAGATTGACTTCGGAAGACTCAACCAATTCGGTGCCACATGGCAGCACCAGAAAGTTCGAGACTTGAAGGAACATTCGGATGAGTGAAATTCGAGTGTCGAATTTCACCACTTCGAAATGTTACGAGAACATTCGCGAAGTGTAGCGATGCGATGTTACGAACGCGGTTCGATGTTGATTGCATGATATAAAACTAGTTGCTTTGTATGCATGTTTCATACTGAAAATCAGAGTTTTCTATACACGGTTCAACTCGACACAAAATCCAGAGACTTTCTATCCTTCAATCTTAGAGCACTACCTAGCACGTTGAAAGCCGTATCTCAGCCGATACTTGGGCGAATTACGTGTTCTACGGCTCCTTGGAAAGCCAAGAGTGTGCTCTAGTGATTAGTACAAATCCCAGTTCCTGCAAAGTAGAGGAGAGTCCTTTACATCAATTTTCCCTTTAAAAAACTCCATAGTTGCCTCGATTTTTCCGGGCACGAATCTTTCCACAACCCTGGGAGCGCCTCTTCTTGCGGCTTTTGACGCAAGCTGGCTGCCGAGCATAGATTGCTGCTTCCATGGCGTCACAGAGACCCCGTTAAAAGCAGACTCGAGTTTCGCGGAAGAGCAATACGAGATGCCACTTGAGTGAGCGGCTGCGCGGGGGACTGATGCAGATATGGCCGCCATGATTGCGATTTCTTGCACAGCTTGGTTCACGCCCTTCAAGAAAGCAGCTCTCCTGCGGTAGCCTTTGGGTCACCACAGCCACAACTGCTGTTGGAGCAATGAAGGGAGGAACCAGCTGACTGCAGTGTTTCAATCTTCACGGACAGAGTGAATCATCCGTCATTGCTCAGTTGCGTGGCATATATGAGTCTATTGACGCCATGAGAATAGCTTTCAGTTGGCTTAGTGCTCAAACCTGACACAAGTTGCTGGTGCTGCAAAAGCGTCATGGGAAATTGTGTCAACCTACCCAGCCATTCCGGTATCCCACACAAACCTCTCTTCATCTTAATGGATCGATCTGCATCCTTTTGCAACCACTTTCCATTAGCGCCCCATCCTCTCATCCACAAAGAAAGCATCTCATCAGGCAAGCTGCGAACAATGTGAATGGGGTAACCGTAGCAACCAGTTATGGTGACGCATTAGGAAAAAGTGTTGACGAAGGATGATAACGTTTCGTGAGTTCTCCATTCATCGTAAAAGCAGAGGACTTGGCCATATCCACCCCACACTCCAGTTGTCCCGTCACGTCACTCTCCATGCGCCTCGGTATCGTCAGGAGAACGAATTGTTGATGAGAGAGTCATCCATAACCAGCACCAATCGCAAGCTTATCTGTGGCTCGTGTGAGTCACTCAAACTATCCCTCCAATCACAGACCGTGAATTCATCAAAGGACATCAGAAGACACCCTGGCATGTGCTCAACATGACTCGCGGTTCCGCGAGTCAACTTCCGCCTCGCCCAACTCCTGATCTTATTGGACAAACGTGAGTGGTGGGAACGTTTGCCAGTTCGTGCGGGGAAATCCTGGGCAATCAGATGAGGGATGAGGAGGACCACGGAAGTCACTGCTTCTGCATCAATGGTTGCTGTTTCACGTCGGATCCACAGGTTGACACGTGGTACACGTTGCACTGATGGAAGAGAATTCTACTGTCCAATCAAAGGACTCACGACCATACTCATTTCACTCTGCTTCACGTTTTCAGTCTGCTGCGTTTCATGACAGAAATTAAAAACGGAAAGGTAACTCCTGATTTTCCCATTGTAAGAGCATACGGCAATGACTTGTAATCCTTGCTACATAAAACAATAGTCAATATATACTGAAGTACGAGATCTCAAATCATATTGTCGCCAGCCTGATACAAACCCCGCTCATTCCCAAAAAAAGTGTGACCACATAACATCTACAGTGTATTAATCTACACTACAATACGTAGATGGCAGCACAGGATATGTCCAGCTGCAAAATTCATCCACACCCAGCCAGTCACACCCAGCCAGCCACCCTCAGCCAGGCCCAGCCATACCCAGGCAGGGACAGCTGCTTACCACTCACCCATGGCTTACCTCCCCCACCTCTTTCCACCATACCCCTTTCCCTCTCCCCCCCAACAAAGCTCCAACTCTCATCTGCTTCAGATCCTGAGCCAGTACTTACTGTAGCACAAACCCCACCACCTACTCTTGCGTTGATGTTACAAAAACCTAATGTAGCACCAGCCACCAACCCCATCACCAACCTTTTCTGCTGCGCACATGCAATGGATTCGGATATTACTATCCTCCCTCCAGCAAGTAACCCTTCTAAGTTGACCCACCCAAAAGCCCACTCTGCTTCAGGCCCTAACTGAGCCTCTACCTATGGTGCCACCAACCCTACAACCAAACTGTTCCTCTGCTGCTGCTGCTGCTGCTGCTGCTGCTGCTGCTGCTGCTGCTGCTGCTGCTGCTGCTGCTGCTGCTGCTGCTGCTGCTGCTGCTGCTGCTGCTGCTGCTGCTGCTGCATGCTTGTCTTAAGCACCACATGCAGCGCAATAGTGTCGTACCAGCCTCCCTCACACCACCCCCGCTGCCACTAACACAGATATGTGACTGCCCACACACGTCCCTCACACCCATTCCTTTCGCGGCTTGGCAACCTTCTCTTCCATTCACCTCCTCCGCTACCAACCGCCCTTCACCGCTTGCCAAAGAAGTACCCAAACAAGGACTTCTTCTGCGGCGCAGCAGCAGCAGCTGCACTTATGAGGCGCCTCAAAAGTTTCCTCCCTTAACCTCAATCCATCCCCTCCTCCCTTCACCGCTTGCCAAAGAAGTACCCAAACAACGACTTCTTCTGCGGCGCAGCAGCAGCAGCAGCAGCCGCCGCTCCCTTCTTCTCATGCCCCTTACTCGCCCCACCACCACCACCACCACCCTTAGCACTACCAGCAGCAGCGGCAGGCGGAGCAGCATCCGCGTCCTTCTCCCCCTTCGTCTGCTCCGCGAATTTCTTCAGCATAGGCAGCACAACCGTCTCCAGATCCGGCCGGTTCGTCCTGTCCCTGCACTTGAGCGCCACCTCAGCAACCTCCTTCGCAATCTCCGGGTTCCAGTCAACCGTCTTATCCAAATGATCCAAAATCCCCTCCAGCCCGAATTTCGCGAACTCGAGCACCTTATTCACTTTCTCGCCGGTCAGCAGCTGCAGAACCACCAGCCCGAGACCGTACAGATCCGACTGCGGGCCGTATTTCCCGGTGCGGAGCAGCAACGGGTCGATGTAGCCCACCGTTCCCCAAATCGACGAGTCGTTCGCGGGGAGAAACTTCGCCAAACCGACTCCCCCGACCTTACAGGAGAGATCCTCGTTCAGCATGACGTTGCCGGGTTTCACGTCCTGGTGGAGAATCGGCGGGTCGAGATGGTGGAGGAACAGCAGCGCCTCTGACGCCTCCGCCGCGATCAGCAGCCGGTGCTTCTGCTTCATCGTTTTCCGTCCCCCCTCCGTCAGCAGACGGTCCTCCAGGGTCCCCCCGGGAAGAGACTCGTACACGATACAGCGTGCCTCGGGATTGTACCCAAGGAGCTTGACCAGATGCGGGTGGTCTGCGCGCGTGAGTATGGTCACTTCGCGGGTGAATTTCTCCGCGGCCTGGCGGGTGTTGTCGGGGTTCAGCTTCATTACAAGCACGGCGGAACCGTCCGCGAGCTTTCCGCGGTAGCCCGTGCCGAAACCGCCGCGACCGAGCGAGTTTTCCCGCGAGTAGTTATTCGTGGCCTCGTCGAGCTCCTCCGCTGAGAACGTCTTCAAACCGGCCTCGCTCCCCATCGTAATAAGCTGCTGCTGTTAGTGCTGTTGGTAACGGTTTTTTCTAACGTGATAATGTCTGATGCTAACGTTGAAGTTATCCCCACATCGTAAGGCTTCTATCGCAGTTGTTGATGACCTGGCGGGTGGACATCGGTAGCTCCGTGAAAGCGGCTACCAGTGTTGGCTGTTTGGAGTCTGTTTGCGTTAACAGCTGGCTATTCCAGCGAAACAGCTATTCCGATAGCTTCTTGCCTTGGACTCGATCAGGCGGCGAACCTGGTGGGAGTTGAAAAGGACGCATCATGGGGATCGGGAGGATTAGGTCTAAACAGGACATTTGATCAAGATGAGATACGAATATTATGGTGAAACCCACAGTCGGGTAACCAAGGCGTTTCAGGACAGGTTTAACCACGGCGTTTAACCACGGCGCGAGGTTCCACACACCGAGGTTGTGGTTGGCGCGGCTACGGCCTCCCTCGCTTATGTGAGTACAAGGGTTAGGTAAATGTCCGGAGCAACTAAGTGGTGGAAGTATAACGCGGACCGGGAAACAAAAATAATTAAGGTGGACAATTTGCGGAAAGATGACACAAGGTATTGAAGGATACGCACCTCGCCCAGAATCACTGCCTGGACTAACGCTTCTGAAAGCAGAGAAGGCTTCACGCGTTGACAGGGTGAAAGTCCCTAGTACTGTTCGCCACAATGCCTACCACCGGTAGTCTTGAGGCGAGAAAACTGAAAGCTAGTCTGAGTGAAAGCTAACCTGCTGTCGGTAGCGGACACACTCGACAACAATCTTCTCTTGCAGCAAAATACCCCCCCCGCTCGAGCTTCAGTTTCACTCCTCGCTCCACCACTCCACCAAGCTTCAACAGCAGGATGCCTGCCTGTTCTGGTCTCAACTGAACTTGGCCCGGGTGTTGTCGCGGAGTCGATTCATTCACCCTTTCCCCGATTCTGTCGCAGAGGAAGGGGGGGCGAAGCGGAGGCGCAGCACAGCTGGGACGAAGTTGACCAAACCGGTGGAAGTTGTTGCTGGATTGGTTGGAATTGCCGTTTTCAGTTTCTTGTTGCACTGTTGGATTTTGTAGTTTACGGCACGGAGGCTGACAGGTTCCCAAACTCTGCAACCCAGGAAAACCTGATGAACCATGGGTTGCACAAGTGAGAGAAAGTCGACCTTTGATATCGTTACCAAAAAGGGGACGTAGCAAGGTGGAAGGAATCCTAAGCAGCGGCACCCTGGAAAGCATTTTTACCAAGTGGTAAAAATGCTTTCCAGGTACAGGACCGCGGACCGATAGCAGGGTGTCACGGGCAGCTTACAATCGGGGCATCCACGAGAGGTTCTAGGGACCGGGAAGGGGAGTCGCATGGAGGGGAATGGAAGAAGCGAAGAAAATTGCGGCAGCCAATGAGAAGCTGAGCCACGCGCGCAGACGAGGAACTGCCGCGCGATCCCGCGAAAGTGCTGAGGGTCCAGTGCCTGCAATTCCGCATGGCGGAGAAGTTTGCCTTCGATAACAGTTCCAATCTCGTTTCAAAACTACATGTAACACGCTTGTAAGGAAATGACGGGTACATACCTTCAAAGTACTTCCTCTATCAAACTTCCCTTTCCTCTCTATCCACAACCCCTCCCATCCCTCTCACACCCCAATCTCTCTATGTGTTATTTTTCCCTAAGCAGGATTACTGAATATTTCACATTAACTTGTTCTGTTTCACATTGTATCGCAAAACTCATACACACGTCCACAATGGGCGCACTGGTACTCTCATAGCCCGATGCTACAACCAGCATTCAGCAGCTGGTGCCATTAACTGTTCACGACAGTTTTGCTCTACCCACTATTTTAAATCGATGAACTCGTTATTTGTCCACAGTGCAACATGCGCAATGTGTGGTGATGCGAGCATGACCTTCCTGGTCAACTGCATGCAGTTATTGACTGTATCCTATTCTTTGTAACACATCAAGGGTCTCCTTTCGTATCTGCAAGCACAATACACAAGAAGAGAGACCGAATGACGACAGACCAAACAATAACTTCTCAGACCAATTATTGAGCACCATCGTATACAAATGCATGTAATAAAGTGCAGACTGCTCACCCATTCAAGTTTTTGAACCGTTACCCCTGACCCTCCAGTCCTATACATTCCGCCAAGAACCTGCAACAGCACCTCAGAACAAAGTATTGAACCCGCGTAACTTGCCATACTGGTACAGTGGCTACATTATTTTGAATAACATATATGCTTTTGGAAATGCAAAGTGTACCTTGGTTACAGTGTCGAGCAGGTGACCTGGCCGAACAGGGGCAGAGCCTTTTGATTGTTGAACCTGCCAATGCCGATTGCACATGGAATTTAGTGTGCATGTCAATCACGCACAGAAGGTCTGGGAGCAGTGTGGAATGTCAGCAAACAGAGTGAGGAAACCATAAACTATGAAACGGTGTGAAAGTTGATTCCGAAATTTCGCAAGATCGACCTCTAAAATTGTTAGCGAATAAAGTGAAAGTCCATGAGCCATGGGTTTGAGAACTGTGTGAAGGGTCTAAGAACAAAGCGGAGGGTCAAGATGCTTTAGTCACAAACACATTTCTTCCAGCAGGTAACGGCACCTACCGCACCAGCAAGATTCCTCCAAAAGAGCACAAAGCAGACAACGTGCGTGCATTTACAAAACCAAAGCACACAAAGCATGGTTTCCTTCACGTGCCACACAAGGCACACCCACCTTCATAGGATCGTCACTGCCCTCCATTTACTCGCCCTCCTGCCACCCCTCCATGACATCAAATATCCGCTTCCTCGGTGTGTCTGGCGATCTCATGGCCACCATCGCTGACATGAACCGCACCTGTGTGGAGGACTCTTGACATGAAGCAAGCATAACCTACGTTGATGGGCCCGGCCCGACGCTGCCGTTCTTGTACTCACTCGCCCTCCTGCCGTCCCTCTATGACATTGAATGTCCGCTTCCTTAGCATGTCCGGCGATTTCATGGCCGCCAATATTGTCACACACGGCATGCCCGTCACAGCCTACCTTGATGGCCCCGTCACTGCCCTTCTTGTACTCGCCCTCCTCCCGCCCCTCCATGACATCTAGTATCCGCTTCCGTAGCATGTCTGGCGATTTCATGGCCACCAGCGTTGATATGAACTGCACCTGTGTGGAGCGGGGATGCACACACACACACACACACAGCCACGCACACACACACGCAAGAGGCAGGCACACACACACAGAGCCACACAAAAACACACACAAGAGGCAGGCACACACACACAAGAGGCAGGCACACACCAGTTGTTAAAAGTGTATTTTTGAGACGTCTCAAAAATACATCAAGCCAGAGCTGCTGTTGAGTCAACTAACAAACCTCCCCAAACCTCCCTCCCGTACCTCCACCTCAGGAACGTTATTGAGTCGGCGGACGTCGTTGCGAGTGTTCTGAATGCCCCCTGCCATGAACGACCGTGCTTCCTCCCTCCTACCGTACCTCCTACCATGCCTCCTGCCGTACCTCCTGCCATATCCTTCCCCTCCCGTTCCTCAGCTTCGGGCACGTTCTTGAGTCGGCGGACATCGTTGCGGGGGTCCTGAACACCCCCCACCATGAGCAACCGTGCTTCCTCCCTCCCTCCTGCCATACCTCCTCCCCGTACCTCCATCCCTCCCGTACCTCAGCCTCGGGAACGTTTTTGAGGCGGCGCACGTCGTTACGAGGGTCCTGAATGCCCCCCGACATGAGCGACCGCGCCTCCTCCCTTGCCAGCAGCAGCCGAGCCAGCAGCCGGCGGTCCTGAATGGGCAGTTGCTCCTCCATTGACTGGGGTGGGTGGGGGGTTGAGGGGAGAGCATGATGGATGGATGAGAGAGTATGATGGATGGATGAGAGGGTATGATGGATGGAGGGGAGGGGAAGGTACTGAACTGAATGCCCCCCACCATGAGCGATTGTGCCTCCTCCCTTGCCAGCAGCGGCCGAGCCAGCAGCTGGCGGTCCTGAATGAGGAGTTGCTCCTCCATTGACTGGGGTGGTATAGTTGTGGAAGTTGGGTATTGGTGGGAAGCGAGGGGAGAGTATGGTGGATGGATGCATGCATGGGAGGGGAAGGGAGGGCCGTGAATGCCTGACACGCTTCTTTTTGAGTCGACTCAAAAAAAGGGAGGGCCGTGAATGCCTGACACGCTTCCCCCATAAGCAACTCCGCCTCCTTTAACCATCTCCTCCAGCCTGGCTCCAGGCACATGCTCCTCCTAATTCCACCCCGCCCATGCTGGAATTTCCCATGCATTTCTTGCTCATGCTTTTGCTGCCCGACCATGGCACTCACAGCAACGAGGTCGTCCGCCTGGGCAATAATCTCCTCCAGCCTGCCTCCCGGCACATGCACCTCCGGTGGTTCCATGCCCTTGCTGTCACCCTTTCCCCAGACTACATGAAGGACAACCAGGCCCTCACAGCAGCACGCTCAGAAGCACTCACAGCAACGAGGTCGTCCGCCTGAGCGATGATCTCCTCCAGCCTGCCTCCCGGTACATGCACCTCTGGTGGCTCCATCCCGCCAATGCCGCCCATGCCAAGTGTGCCTATGCCTTTCTTGCCCATGTCTCTTCTTACCCGTACCCATGACACTCACAGCAACGAGGTCGTCCGCCTGGGAAATGATTTCCTCTAGCCTGGCTCCAGGTACATGCACCTCTGGTGGCTCCATCCCACCAATGCCGCCCATGTTGCCGCCCGGACTCGCCTCCGCAGGAAGCTTGCCGCCCCCTGCCAGCGCGCGTGTGATGATGTCTCGGCGGCGATTCTTGTCTGACGTGGCAACGAGGAGGGACACCACCTGCACCTGAAAATGGGAGAAGTGAAAACGGGAATATTTCAGGCGACCAAAAAAAGGCTGATGTGGAGAAGTGAAATTTTCCTCAGGAGGGACACCACCTCCACCTGAAAACGGGAGAAGTGAAAAGGAAAGACATTAGGTGACCAAAAA